CCGATAGTGTGATCAATAATGAGCTCGATCGAGATATCGAGTGAGAGGGATAGTGAGATCGTTTTCGAGATCGCTAGCGAGATCGATAGTGAGACCGATAGTGAAATCGATTGTGTGAGATCGATAGTGAGGTCGATAATGAGAGCAATAGTGAGATTGATCGTAGGATCGATAGTGAGGTCGATAGTGACATCGATCGTGAGATCGGTTGAGTGAGACGTTGTTCCTCCTCCAGGACCTTCTTATCACCGAAGGGTGGTCGTGTAGGTGCATCTACATGTAGACACATATCTTGTTTGTCTTTGCCTGCAGCCTCCTTCTTCTGCCGCCCAGCTATCGAATATGTTCGACTTGGTATGGAAGATTGAGCTTGAAGGGCGTGTCCACATAAGTTGGATGTTTGCTGCTGCGGGCATCTCCCCACTGTTAGTTGCCAACCGCTGATTGGAGTCACTGGCGCGTCGGAGGAACAAGTGTGCGTTTGCGTGTATCGTGTGCGCACTTGTATTGCATTCGCTCGCCCCAGTGCAGCCACCCACTCGCTACGCCATCGGCCAGTTTGCATCCCATTATTCAATCGCTTCGCTCATTCCGCCGGCCCATATTGTCGCACCGTTGTGGGCTAGCCGAGTTTTGGGGCCTCTTGGGGGCCGTTTTGGGGCCTCTTGGGGCCTCTTTTGGGCCTCTTGGGCGCCTCTTGGGGCGTCTTGGGGGCCTCTTGGGGGCCTCTTGGGGCCTTTTTGGGGCCTCCTGGGCGCCTTCTGGGGCGGAGGGCTTGGTTTTTTCAGTTCTCGGTTCCCCTCTTGAGCCCCTCTTGGGCCCGTCTTGGGGCCTCTAAGTCCGTCTTGGGCGGCACTTGGGCCGTCTTGGGGGCCCTCCTGGGCCGTTCCAGGGCCGTCTTGGGAGCCTCGTGGGCCGTCTTGGAGCGGTCTTGGGGGCCTCTTGTGCCGTCTTGGAGCGTCCGGAAGCCGAAAAAGCCAGAACGCAAAAAACATAGAAAAAAACAATGAAAATCAACGATTTGGGCCTCTTGGGGCCCTCTTCGGAGGCCTCTTGGAAGGCCCTTGGGGCGTCTTGGAGGCCTCTTGGGCTGTCTTGGGGCCCTGTTGGGCGTCTTCGGGCGATCTTTGGCCGTCTCGGGGCCCTCTTGGACCGTCTTGGAGGCTTCTTGGGGACCTCTTGGCTCGTCCTGGGGCCCTGTAACAGGGCTCCGGCATCTCTGGCCCGACCTTGCCGGGACCTTGCCGGGGACTTGCCGGGGCCTTGCCGGGGTACTTTTCGTCCGGGGACCCCCAGGGGCCGCCCCGCGCGCGCGAACTAGAAATACTGTTAACCAGGCACCGGAGATCTTAGCACGCCCTGGCCCGTTGGGCCGGCGAATTCTTCTTGTTGTGGTGACGCTGCTTAGCCCCTGGAGGAGGCATGACGTGTGCGTGCGTATGTGCGCGTATGTGTGTGCGTGTGCGCGTGCGTGCGCGTGTGCATGTATGTGTGTGAATGCATGTGTGTGGCGAATGTGACTGTCTGTGTCTGTGTCTGTGTCTTTGTCTGTGTCTGTCTCTGTATGTGTGTGTCTGTGTGTGTCTCCGCTGGTCTCTGGTGTTAACAGCATGCTCGCTCCGACCTGCTGAACCCGACCGTGCAGGATAATCCGTACGCCTCTGCGCCTCCTCAACGACGACGACGACGACGACGACGACGACGACGACGACGACGACGACGGCGGCGGCGGTGGCGACGACGACGGACGTCGTTGTCGAGGGGGGATGGCAAGAAGCCCGGCGATCGCCCAGCAGATCGCGCTGCACACCATGGACTTTTAGATCGCTCCCTCTTCTCGAAGAAGAAAACGATATAAACATAGTTAGACTTTCGACGCTCCGCGCGGATTTCTTGGATCCGCTCTAGGGGCCCTTGGCGGTGCCTCTGGCGCCGCCCTTGGCGCGCTCCGCGCGCCAGGGAGGGGGTCCTAGCCCAGGTCCAAGAAATCCGATCGGACCTCCACAAGTTGATGCTGATGCCGTTTGTTCTTCCTCCATCTCTGCTGAGCGCCGCGCGGCGATCGCTGGCGCCACGCAGCAGGGAAGATGGACAGACTTGGCGGGGGAAGACATGGCGCGGCGTACAGATGCTCGACATGGGGGGCGTAGTTGCTGCGTCGCCGGACCTTTACAGTGCGCCCCTCTACTGCGCGTTCCACGCCAATCTGCAGCGGGCAAATGCCCCGAAGCCTTCAGGCCCCTTCGGCCGCGCCCCCCATCGCGACCCATCTGGCGGACAGCCAGCATGAGAAGCCCGGCGGTACTAGGACGGCCCTGCGGGCCAACTTCTCGGAGTTGGCGGCCGCAGACCGTTGGGGGGGGAGGGGGGCGCCGCCCCTTAACCGATAGCCATGGCGCGTTTCTGCCACGAGTCCTGGCGGTCCGAGCCGAAGGCTGCCAACCGCTTCCAGGGGCGGGCCCCGATCTCGCCGAGCGCATGAAATTCCTGGCGCGAAGGTTGAAAAGAGCAGGACGCCCGCCAATGTCGCCAGTACTTGACGCGAGCACGAGAGAAATCGCTTTCGCGTAAGAGTGACCCTTCGCCGGAGTGACTTCTGGTGCGGGCTCACTGGGGCCCCCCGATCGCTGAGCGCGATGTGTTAGTAGCGTTTTGCGCGGCGGCGATGTAGTTGTCCAGGACGGCAACCCCGTGCAACGCGCTTGCCATACGCGCCTCTAGAATGGAGCTCTTCGCCCGAAGACAGCCCGCGGACTTGGCGTCGCGCTTGCAAATCTTAACGGCCTCGCGGGCAAAGGCAAAATGGAGGCAAAGAAGTTGGCGGGCTAACTACAGTCGAGATTGGTTAGCAGGTCGACCTTGCCAAATCGAGGGTACCCTTGTGACCTGAGCTTCGCGACCCATGCCTTTTACATTCATATGGCAATGTGGCCCTCGGAAGGGTCTTGTGTCCTCTCGCGTGTCCTCTCCAATCAACCCCGACTGTAGGAGCGGTCAGGGTCCTGCGTGGCTGAGCGACATGGCCGCGCCAGCGCGCACGAGGCAGCGCGCTCACGCACTTCTCTGCGCGTCTCCGTTCCAGGCAGGGGCGCGCGCGGCTGCGAAGTGCGAACGTCTCATGATCGCGCTGAGCGGCGCAGGGTTCAGGCCACTGTGTCGTGTCGGCGATCGGTTATGCCAGCGACGATGTTGCATGGGCGATATGACAAGAAGCAAACCAAACTGAACAAGCAAACAGACAAACAACAACAACAACAACAACAACAACAACAACAACAACAACAACAACAACCACTATAAGCTGGCCGTCGCCAATTGTACGCAACTCCTCACGAAAATCCACGCCGTATTCAGCGATTTCTTATTGCTGGTGGTCGTCCTCGCCTGTGCTATCTTATCAAAGCATGTGTTTGCACGCCCCGTCGTCATCCTCATCCCTCGTCATCTTTCGTCGAAGACATGTCTTCGCACCAAAACTAGACGATCCAGGCGAAGGACCCAACCAGATGCAGATGTGAATGCCGCTTTTGTGAGAACTGCCGTCTGTGGAGCTCCCTATGGGCACGAAGTGCGCGAAAGGTGCGCCGCAGTGGGGCGAGGCCGCCATGCTGGCGCTGCCGCTGGGGCCTTCTGTGGAGCTTCCCATGGGGCCACGAAACATAGCGGGGTGTGCCAAAGTGGAGGGGGGCGGCATGCAATTCATGCCGCTGAGGCCTTCGGTCGAGCTCCCTCTGTTGCCAGGAAACATGTGAGGGGTGTGCCAACATGGGTTAGGCGGCATGCGAATCATGCCAATGGGGCATTCGGTAGACCTCCTTGTTGGGCCACGAAACGTGTGAGGGGTGTGTCAAATTGGACGGGAGGCGGCATGCGAACTATGCCACTGGGGCCTTCGGTGGAGCTCCCTATGGGCTCACCAAACGTGTGAGGGCTGTGCCAAAAGTGGAGATGGGGAGGCATGCGAGCCATGCCACTGGGGCCTTCGGTGGAACTCCCTATGGGCTCGCGAAACGTGTGCTGGGTTTGTGCCAGATTGGACGGGGGGCGGCATGCGAACCATGCCACTGCGGCCTTTAGTGGAGCTCCCTACGGGCCACGAAACGTGCGAGAGTGTGCCAAAAGTGAAGGGGGGACAGCATGCGAACCATGACACTGGGGCCTGCGGTGGAGCTCCCCATGAGGCCACGACACGTTTGGGGGTTGTGCCAAAGTGAGGAGGGTGACGGGAGGAGGGAGAAAGAGGAAGGAGGAGGAGAGGAGGAGGAGAGTTGAGGATGAGTCGCGGGGCTTGTCTCTTCAAAACGAGGACCCAACTCATCACAGGATGGTTGAGAAATACGAACCGTCTGAGTCGCACGGGGCGGCGCGCAATACGCTTGTCCCGAATGCGGTTCTTCGAGTAAGCGTGAGCTTCGAACGCCCATGCGGACTTCATGGGCCAGCCGTTTCGACTAAATAGTTGATGATGGGTTGGGTACGTCCGTGGGCGATGTCTTTTCTAGGCGTCTCCTCTTTCTTGGCCGTCATCTCCCAGTCGCGTCCTCCTTTTTCCGTGCCATCCCGAATCCTTTCTGGTGCCACCCTTGAGGGTTCGGCAATTTTCCTTTGAGGGATCAGGCCTGATAGATCTAGGGAAGTCCCGACAACTCTTAGAGCATTCGTGTAAACCTATGTAAGTTGCTAAGCTAAATTGGAGCAGAGCTTGGACGCTCCAGCGCGAGTCGAAGAAGAAGAAAACACCGTGTGTCCAGAAGGCACGCGAGCAATACTTTAAATCAGCCGCAGCGACGCATCAGCGGGATTGGCTGTAGCTCCGCGCTGCTCGCCGCCACGTGTTCGCCAGCTAGGCGGCTATATCTGGCCAGTCTAAGCCACTATGCACACATGCGCAAAGAGCGTGCTTGTGTAACTCTCGGTCCCACGCCGCGCGGGGCCAGCCTCGAGCGCGAGTCGAGGGGAAACTGAATTCGAAGCCCTGAATTAGCAATCAATCGGCCAAGGCTCCTGCGCTTGCCCCCGCGGATCCAGAGGGAGGAGATGAAGGATCGGCACCGCCCAAATACACATTTATGTCATGTGCGCGTTGGCCTCGTAAAGGGCGACGCGCAGGCTCGTAGATCTTGTTAGATGGGCTCCGTGGTGGGCGCTTTCTGGCCACACCGCCCTGAAGACGACACGATACAAGATACTGTACTGCATGTTCGGTTTGGACGCGCCCCTCCAACCGAAACACATAAGTACATTCGAAACCGACGGTAAGGATGTGCCACCTTCCCAAGGGTACCCTTGCATCCGCGCCTCCTCGGCCCATCCTTGACTACTCTCGCTGGCCGTGCCCCCGTTCGAAGAGTGTCGGCATGGCATTCCAAGGCCTTCATCATTATCGCACATCCTTGCTATCAGTTTTGACTATGCGATGTCCGCATTTTTTGAGTACGGGGCCTCCTGAAGTCCCGACCTTTTGCAGCCAGCTTTTTCATCCCGAGTCGCCTTTTGGCGGTCCCGGGGCCCGGTGACGGCCCCTGGAGGCCGAACACAGTCAAACGCCTCCCGTGCCCCAGAAGGAGTTTGTCGCCCACGTCATCGAGGCCCAGGCAGCCTCCGACGTGCAGTGCGTGGTCCCCGCGCCCACGCCCGAGGCGCGCCCCCCTCGGCTCGGAGGGGCGGACGGGGTGGGAGGTGGCGCCCGAGACGTCTGCGACCAGGCGCCGCCGCCGCCGACGTTGCCGCGACGACGACGACGACGACGACGACGACGACGACGACGAGGACGGGGCGGAGCAGGCGGCCCCGCCTCCGGCGTTTTGTTCGGGTGTTGCCAATTGTCCCGTGCCCGTGCCCACGGTGCCCCCAGCTCTCCGCGGCAGTTTGGGGCCTTGGGGGGCCCTCCTGCGGGCCTCCCCAGAGATCCTACAGTGGACCCGCATCACAAGGATGGGCAAGCTTCCCAAGGGTACCCTTGCATCTTTCCCTCCTCGGTCCATCCTGGGCCACTTTCGTTGGCCGTGCCCCGCTCGCAAAGCTTCGAAACGGCCGTCCAAGGCCCTTGCATCCTTATCGCCCATTCTTATTTTATTGGTTGACTGTAGGGACTCCGTGGACCAGGGACACTTCTGGCAACCCCCGGCTAGTAGTGAGTGAGGGGCGGCAGTTGAGGGCGCGATCGATCTAGGCCTCCTAGATGGGGTCCGAGTAGATGGGGTCGGAGGATCCCGCCGCATCGCCGATGCATCGGCGATGCGGCTCGATGTGGAGACCGTGTTTGCCCACGCCGACGTCGCCGATGCATCGCCGATGTAACGGTGATGCGGCGAGATCTTCCGACCCCATCTACTCGGACCCCATTTAGGATGCTTCTAATCGAGGGTCGAAGTATAACAGGACCCTTTGTGGCCCCGAAGGTGCACGCAGGGCCTCAAAGGTGCCGGGAGGAAAGCCAGAAAGAGTATTTGTCGCCAAGGGGGAAGCGGGTCCTGAGGGACAGGAGTCCAGAGATTTTTCGCTGTTTTCGGAGCCTCTGGGCCCTCCCCGGGCCCCAGGACAGTCAGAAAACGATTCAGGATGAAGAATTAATTCGTCCTTGGGGAAGGCCCAAGGGTCCAGAACCCGTTTCACTCAGGAACCGTTTCCCCCATATTGAGTCTGGGCCAGGGGGGTCTTCGAAGGAGAAGGAAACATGCATTCACATCATTATTTGTCGGAGATCCGCGCGGTGTTCCTGGATCGGCGCTAGACCCCCCTCGCGCCAGGAAAGGGGGGCCAGCGCCGATCCAGACATTCCGCGCGGACCTCCGAGGTTATACAGTTGCTTCTTATTTGATCGCTTCGCTCACTTCGCCGGCCCATTTCGCATCACTGTGGCTGCGTGGTGGTGTGCTCGTGCCCAGGGGCCCAGGGGGAACGGTAGGGCAGGCAGAACTGTCCTCGAGAAGATTTTTGGAGATGCTGGCCCCGCACTCTGTCGAAGAGAGCCGATAGACTGCCCCAGAGGGCGCCGAGATGGCTCAAGAGAGCTCCAGCAGAGGTTCAAGACGTACCTGGGTTGTGGGTCAGAGTCCTCGTGGAACCTCCTTGGGGTCTCTCCGGAGGGCTCTCGGGAGCCTCTGGGGAGCAGTTTGCAGTTTGAGGCCTCTGGGGAGCCTCTTGGGGGCTTCCTGGGGCCTCTTGGAGCTTCCTGGGGGCTTGTTGGGGATCTTGAGACTCTTTTGGGGCCTCTTGGGGGCCTCTTGGGGGCCTCTTGGGGGCTCTGGGGCTCTGGGGGCTTCCTGGGCGCCTCTTGGGGCCGAGAGCTCGAAATGTTCGTTCGGGTTCCCCCTCTAGGCCCCCTCTTGGGGCCATCCTGGGGCCGTCTTGAAGGCCTCTTGGGCCGTCTTAGGGCCATCTTGGGCCAGTTTGGGGCCCTCTTGGAGGTTTTTTGGACCGTCTTGGAGCGATCTTGGGGTTCCTTGGACCGTTCTGGGCGGTCGGCAGCTCGAAAAGGCGGTACCGCCAAAAATCGTCAGAAAACCAAAGCAAATTCAACGATGTTTGCGTCTTCGGGGCCTCTGAGTCCTCTTGGATCCTTCCGGCCCTGGAGCGTCTTAGGCGCTTCTTGGGCCGTCTTGGGACCAACGTGGGCCACCTTGGAACGCTCTTGGCCTGAAGCCGCGGGGCCTGCCACGCATTGGCGCCTCATTGGGGCGCTCTGGGGCCCCCCGAAGCCGCGCCCAGGAGTTCCGGCATCTCTGATCCGGACCTGCCGGGATCTTGCCGGGGTACGTTTTGTCCGGGGATTCCCAGGGAGGAGTGCGAGGGCGAAGAGGGGGAAAAGGAGGAACAAAAGAAGAGGAGAGAGTAGCCCAGGTAGGAGCAAACAGAGGAGGACGCGGTGGAGAACAACGACAACGGAGATGGGGACGACGAAGAAGAGGACGAGGACGGAACGAGGACAGTGACGCGATGACGAGGAAGATGAGGGGGATGATAAGGAAGAGAGCGAGGACGAGAAGGGAGAGGGAGGACGACGAGGAGTAAGAATCGATCCGGCGATGTGCCCGATGATCACCATCATCATTATCATTATCATTATTAGTATTAGCACTATCATCTTCCACATCAACAACATAATCATCCTCATCATCACCATCCTCACCATTACCATCATCCTCATCATCATCAGCATCATCATTATCATCAGCATCATAATCATCCTCGTCATCGTCATCATCATGACCACCATCATCATCATCATCATCATCGTCATCATCATCATCATCATCATCATCATTATCATCATCATCATTATCAGCATCATCACCATGATCAGCATCATCATCATCATCATCATCATCATCATCATCATCATCATCATCGCTTGCCAGGCCCGACCGAGGAGTGCCTCACAATTTTGGGAGGGGACTTTAATTGGGTTACTTCCGACGTGGACAGGGTCTCCTCGACTACCATGGCGCCCTCCGGCCTGCAGGACGCCCGCGACGAGAGGCACTTCAAGGCCGTCATTTGCGACAGGTTTGGACTTGCAGAGATGCACCAGCCCGAGCACACGCACGCCTCGGCCTCAGCCCGGTCGCGGCTCGACCGCATTTATGCGAACTACCACTTGTCGGATCAGACCGTCACGTCCGCTGCTCGGCGTTGGAGTGGCGCCACGACTTATCCCATCATCGGGCAGTCTTCTTCACGAGGCGGGCTCCGCAACATGGCGACGATGATGCGCGACCACTTTCGACTGCGGCTCTCGCCGATCCGTCGTTCCCTCGTCGAGTGGCGCTGGAGTACCAGGAAAATCGGAAAGACTTCGTTGATGGCACTGCTTTGGAGCGCTTGCGACTGTACAAAACGGCGATGCGGACGGTTGCCACCCGGATCGAGAAGGAGCGCCCCGTTCAGGAGCCCGCCGCCAACGCAGAGGACCGCCTGGGAGTTACTATGCAATTTATACGTGCTGCGGAGGGAGGCCGGCTCAACGAGATCTCGACATGTTTGTTGCGATACCCGGCCCTCCGGGACGTCGTCGACAACCCGTACCGCGTCGATGGCAATTTGACGCGTCACCTTCGAGGCGCCCGGTTGCACGCTGTTCAGCTTGCTCGCGAGCACGCCATTGACGAGCTGGGCCGCTCGCACCCCGATTTGACGAGCGGGGACGATATCCGGGTTACGCAGGCGCGGCAACACAACGTCCGCCTCATCTACCAGCTTTCGCCAGGCCGTGCTTGCGGCATCTCAGCGGTGGCGAAACCAGATGGCGAGATTGTCACGCACCCTGATGCAAAAGCTGCCGCTTTGCGTTCCCACTGGAAGGAGGTGTTCACCGCCAAAGGGGTGGACGATGCCCTACTTCAGCAGTGGACGGGCGAGGACGTGGACAATCGCCCCCTGGCTGATGCTTGCCCCTTCGGCCCGTCCAGATTTCGTTTATCTTGTCGACACATCCGGGAAGCCATTGAGAAGTCCAACAACTCTTCCCCTGGCCCAGACGGCGTCCCGTTTTTGGCATGGCGGCGCAACGCAGCACTCTCCACCACGATTTTGCTCGACGCCTTCCAGGCCCTCGCGTCCGACGACGGGGCGTCCCTCATGCAGACCTTCGCCGGCGAATTCAACGCCAGCCTCCTTATCTTTCTGCCCAAGAAGCCCGCCGGCTTTGGGCCCACGGGAGAAGGGTATTTTGAGCCCGGCGGTGTGCGACCACTCAACATAACCAACACAGACAACCGGCTGTTGGCGAATGTGGTGCGATTGTTGATCGAGCCAGTGGTCGGGCCCCAGGTTTCGGATATCCAGAGGGGGTTCATCAGTGGGCGTTCCATGCTGTCCAACCTGGTCGACATGGAGGAAGCGTCGGTCCTTGCGGCTTGCTTCTCGGTCGAGGCTGGCGCGATGTTCTTTGATTTCGCAGCGGCATTCCCCTCAATTGAACACTCCTTCCTCACACGGGTCTTCGAGTCACTCAATTGGCCCGGCTGGTTGCGCAATTTCATCAGCGTTCTATACCAGGGGAACTTTTGCGACATTGTGATGGACGGCGCCCGCTACAGCGGCTTTGGCGTGCACCGCGGCATGCGTCAAGGCTGCCCTCTTTCCCCGTTGCTGTTCGCTGTCGCCGCGGACCTGCTGCTTCGACGCCTCCGCCGGGACCTACCTTCCATTGCTCTTCGCGCTTACGCCGACGACACGGCTTTGGTCGACCCGCTACTGCTGCGGCACCTGGCCCTGCTCGAGCGCACCTTCGCAGAGTACGCGCGGGTGTCTGGCCTGGAGCTCAACGTAAGCAAAACGGTTTTGGTGCCACTCTGTGCATTCAGTCGCTCTGCGATTCGCGCCCATCTTCGCGATGCCGTTCCACTTTGGGGGGCCCTCGAGATCGCTGATTCGGCCAAATACTTGGGATTTTACGTGGGCCCTGGGAGAGGCCTCAAGTCTTGGGACAGCGTTTTTAGGAAGATGGAAGACCGGGCGTCGGTGTGGGGACACGTCGGGGCAGGCATGATGCACACCATCGAGGCCTACCGGGTCTTCATCGCCTCCGTCGCCACGTTCGTGGCGCAGCTGGACCCTCTACCATATGCTTTCGCCGCGGTGGAACAACGGATTCTCCGGAAGCTTTTCCCTGGGCCCAGGGACTGGCTCGACGCTG